TATCAGGCTAAAACATCTGGGAAAGAAAGCTATGAAACAGCAGGGAACGTGGCTGGTTTATTGTTTATCTTTTGTTTATGAGGCAGTATTCAAGTTTAATTACTACTCTAAATTAAACTCTAACTGGCATCAGGAGACATCCCTTTACATGAGTAAGTTTAAAAAAAAATCTGGAAATCCCAACTCTGGATTTTTCAAGTAAGTTGATATATATATATACATATATAAACAAAATTGCTCAAAATTAACAGCAAGTATAGAAAGCTTTTAGGCATTTATAGTCAAGCATTACATGTTCCAAGAACATGTATTTATTAGAACACTAATTTTATTTCTGATGACAAGTACTTAAAATGTCCTAAGACATCAACAAAACATACCTAAGGATGATTGAAGAATGGCTTTCAGTTTTATTTAATTTTTTTTGGGGGGGAAGGAAGTACCACATGAATATTTTATATATAACAGCTTCTTTTCTGGCCATGTTCAACTGTCAATTATAGATGAAGAGAAAAAAAAATGTTGATAACAATCAGGAGGAAAAGGGATGCAAATATACTTATAAGTTAGTGACCAGTTTTGGGTGAACTTAACTCTAGGAAAAATAAAAGTTAAAAGCTACTAGAAAAGATGATGCCAGATGGCGTCTGTCATATTGTATTTAGGGTTATTTTAAAGAGATTGCCGCCACTATGAAAACATTCCGTTGACAGAGTTCTCCTAGACTGAATGAGAAATCCCAGCAGAGAATATTCAGGACCCTCAGTAACTTCCCCCTCCCATGCTTCCTCCTTTAAATATATAACTGGAATATTTAAAGCAGGAAAAATGTTATTTCTTAACTGCAACACAGTATAAACTCAAAAGTGTCATGCTATCTTACGAATGTGCTTAACTATAAAGAGCTTCCATTCATTACTAAGGGGACATTTGTAGATTTCAACGCTACGGTTGCAAAATAACTGTATAATAACTAAATAAACATCAAGCTGTGGGATTCTAGCCTTGTTGCCTGGGTGATAGATGGTGACATCAATGGAGGGTCTGGTGGCAGAGTCGAGGGGAACCCTGCTGGCTTGTACCACCCTGGGTCTTGAGCGATTAGAGACATAGATGCTAGCATGTTCACGTATTTAGGTTAATCTGGGTCTGGCAACAGTATGGTTAACGTGTGTGTGGCGTGCACCGTGAGCTCAGCAGTTACTGGGCCAACTGTCTCGGTATTTCTGGGAACCCTGCCTATTCACAGTGCAGGGATTGTTCAATTGCTGCAAAATGTACAAAATGAATTTTACAAAAATGAATTGTAAGGAAGGCCCCATTACAACGATTTTACAGCAAAGATGTCAACATCAATTTTTCTTTCATGCATAGCTAATGATTAAAACAGCATATTCCATTTGCCTAAGACAATTTATTTCATATTGGCACATCAAAATATTGAAATACAAAGTTATCTTTACTCTACCCTTTCCATTCACTGCTGCTGAACCCATACCATTGTTCAAACCAGGAAAAATAAAACAAACTTGGCACGAAATACTTAAAACAAAGGCTCATCAATATTCTCCAATTTGTCAACATCTCAATTACAGCACTGGAAAAAATGTAAATTTCATGTGCTCTAAACACTGAGGGATCTATTCTCTTGCCAATTCACATGTGTAGCTCCCATCAGCGTTAATGGGAGTTACACAAACCCATCAATAATAATAATACTTTGTACATATACTGTGCCTTTTATCTGAAGCTCTCAGAGTGCTCTAGGAGCAAGGAGGCTGCTCCTTAGTCTTCACTCTGGCAAAACACATAATGAAACACAAAGCATCTTTTGACTCAGCAGGTACAGAGCTAGGGACCCCAAGCCTTATTTTCAAGCCCTATTTTACTGACGGGAAGTCAGGCACAAAGACGGGCAGTTACTGCCCCTGAACTCTGAGTCTGCACCCTAATTCCATCCTTGAAAAACCAGATTTCCTTCCTCGTTCAAATGTGACTAACAAGACAAATGCTCTCCCTTTGGCTGCTTTTTGAAAACAGAAAAACCTAGTGAATGAAAAGTCAGGCTCATATTTATACAGTGGACTGGTATGTGGTTGGAAAGATAAAGTCAGACTTTACATTCTTCCAAGTTCACTTTTTACAATATTAAGGACTTTTGATTTTTTTTTCTTCCTTTGGTTTATCATACAAACTCCTAGAACAGATGACCTCTCACCCGTGTAACTGCAGCTCCTTCATATTAGGCCATAAAACTGGGTGTTGTTAGGTTCCAAAGTAAGGATTTGTGAGAATCGTCATTGTAAAAATATTCATAAAAATTATAAAGCAACATAAATGCATGTATTGTTTTATAGCATATGGCTATTAAAGTTTAATTTAAAATGTGTATGAAAACATTGTATTTAGTACAATTAATCCCTATTTCTTCTGTTTATCATAATTTGTTTTGAAATTGAATCGTTTTACAGTTTTCCATATGCCTGTTGTGCTAATAAATTCTGAAGAAGTAACTAAAGTCTCTTATGAACTGCAAACTTAGATTCTAATGAAACGTCATGATATATTTAATATGAAGAACGTGAGTTTCCCTCCCAGGCTTTCCATTCTCTATCAACCCTAACATCTAACCTAGGATAAGCGTATGTGACTTCAGTCAATATCTCTGTTGGCTTTGCCCTGACTCAGATAATTAATCTTTCTCACTGAAAGCTACTCTGAGCATTTTGGTGGAACAAAGTATCAAAATATCTTGAAAACATATTTAAAAGATTATGGGAGCAAAGCATGCTTAAGTCTGGCCTGCAAAATTTAGGGTGCGCTGTCAAAAACAAACAAAACAGAACAGAACACCTTGATGTGAGCATAACTACTGACACTGTAAGCCACGTAGAAAAAAATTCTCCTTGCAGGAGCGGTTTCCATTTTATAGAAACAATAACTTTTCCCCCCTTTCTCTCCAACTTTAACACAGTTGGGCAGTTGGAGAGACAGCCTTCCCCAGTGCTCACATACATAAGCCACCGTGTCCATTCTTTAATCCCACAGAGATATGATTAAAGGAACAAAACACTTGGGGGATCAAATCCTTCAGCAAGGGATAAGTGGGTGCAGCTCCCCATAGCATGGCGGGCTCCGGGTTCTGTTTCTCCCAGAGGATCACTTTAATATGTCTTCTGTTTCTTGACCAAAAACTCTTAATAAAAGAGAACTAACTAAGATGATAAAACTTGGTGTTTTGTCTGCTGTGGTAGCTATTCCCTGCTCCTATATCTTTTCTTGTTCTGCCTCCTCCTCTCTCTGACCCTTCCTGTTATCCCTCTCGCCATAATTCAACTAACCCAACAGAACCAGTCAGTTTTAAATTTCAGTTGGGACCTTGGTGACCTGTTAATGAATCTACAGAGAAGAGAAAAACTCACAGTGTTGAGTTATGCCTGGTGTCGCTAGCTGACTTGGAGTCAGAAGTGCTTGAAGCGTTAACGTAATTGCAAGAATGTGAAAAATGAAGCGCTGGGCTCCTGAGCCAAGTGAAAGGTCAGAGGGAGCCTCACACCGGAGAAGTTTCTGGAAGATAGCCTCATTAGGCCATTAAGTCTGCTTCTCTTTCTCCCCGCACCCATCCCTGCAATGTTGAGGGTGTTTTGTTTTTATTAATAGATATTTCACCCTTTGTGTTGCCCTAACTTGGGGCAGTGGGGAAGGACTGAATGATTGAAAGGTTTCTGCATTTGACCCAGGGTCACTTGGAACCACAGTTAAACCTCTGGATTGCAGTTCCACAATTGAATCTCGGTACAAGATACCTCCAAACTGTCTTACAATGAAGTTTGTTTTACAAACAGTCCAACTGATGTACTCAAACCAATATACATATAGCTCATATGTATATATAACATACAATATTCTATGGCTTGCTTTTCAATGGTGCATCACCTGCAAGTAGCAACTCATCAAAAAGACAGATTTTAAATAGTATTCACTTACAAGGAAAAGCCAATCTAGGATGTCCAGTTTTCTGGACTCCCTTGGAAATTTAGGAGTCCAAAATCCCTGGCCAGAAACATGGAAGAGGGTAGATCTCACAGGACATCAATGACTCTCTTCTCAATGTCCTGTAACTACAGCACAGCCTGTCTAATGCTTAAATATTGTGGCCATAAACAGAATCATAACAGAGATAAAACAGACCTAGGAGACCAGACACCATCTAATGTAAAATATTAAAAAGTAAAATCTATACAAATTCCTGGAACACAGTCAACAATTGCATCTTCCTTTAAGTGATCATTTTATCCATGGAAGAGTCATTCCTACCAACATGTAATTGTTCTCTGTTGTGAAGGGTAAAATGCATTGCAAATTGCAGCAGGCATCATTGACATCTGTAGTTGTCCTATTTGCCTTCGGAAAAATCTTTTTTTTTTTTTTTTAATTGGGACAAAAGTCACTATGTCAGCTGTATAAAAGCAGGGACAAATAACATCTGAAGGATTTCAAAATCTATCTTCCTAAAATAAGAGTCTGTATAAATCTCTCCAAACCCCTTTCTCATATTTCTGGAGTTAGTAAGAAGAGATTTTTTTTTTTTTTTTTTTTATCTTACAAGCTTCAGAGTCAGGGCTGCTTTAATTATAAAGAACTCCTTAGTAAATACTACTAGCAAATATCCTATTTATAGTATAATTCAAACTACTGTATTATAGCTGTTAGGTAGGTCTGTCTTTCAGAAATACACCAAAGTAGTGTAGATAACCACATTTGTAAGAAAATTGGCAGAACTAATCAATTACTATTGTAATGTGGACTTAAAGATTAGATAGGTCATTTTGACTCTTTAAGTAAAGTTAACAAGGAAGCCCGTCTTCCTACCGAAAGGTTAAGACGCTCCCTAACACCCTTACCTGCCCCTCTCCTGTTTACACAGATCGACACTATGAAATGCTGAAGCCATTTTGGTCATGCCTACTTTTATAGAAGGAAAATTCTTAACCTTTTACCTTGCTCACTGCTGTTGTCTCCACTCTGGGAAGCATGGCCCCCACTGGAGGGTCCTGGGGTGCCTGCTGAGTGAGTTGACGTGGCGTCATCATGGTCTCGCCAGGATGAAGGGTTCTGATGTCAGGATACCAAGGAATTTTCCCACAGTTACCATGTGAGCCATAAATGAGGAGCCATGAAGACAGACAGGCACAGGGGGAGACAAAAAACAAAAAAGTGTACATATTAGTATTTTCAGAGGTGGCCACAGGCCTGGTATTCTATGCCTTTTTTTTTTTTTTTCTGTTACGTCAGTATATACATTTGTTAGAACTAACTGACATATCTCTTTTAAGTGTGCACATCCTATTATATGCAAAGTTACACTGCAGTAAAGTCGACTTCTGAAGTAAGGGAAAACTGCCTTCAAATGTCTTTCTCAGCTTTTCTGTTAGAATCGGGGCACATTTTCCTAAGTGCTCTCAGACAGAAAGATCCACCAGAACACGAACCTTTACAAAATCCAACACTCCCTTCAAAAGAGCACGGGATTAATAGTGTGTGATGGGACATGCCTTTACCCCTTTCAATTGCCTTGTCCTAAAATAGTCTGTCTGAACTCTCCAAATGTTATCAACAGGTAGATTTTATAACCAACAGAAGCAAAATGAATCATGGCATCAATATCTCAGAAAGCACCAAACCCTGCTTTAATTTGCACAAATGGTAATTTTTAAAACGAAACTAACACGGGGAGATTGCCACTTAGCAAGTGAGCTGAGACTTTCGCTTTCAGTGACTGAAAGGTGGCTTCTGGAAGAACTTCGATGAACTGACGCAAGGCAGGGCAGGAGGTACCAGCTCACGCTATTTGGCTGATATATTTGTCTCTTGTTTCCCCTCCCCTTTCCTGATCATTCCCAATACCCCTGCTGTAGCTTAAAGGGAAACAGGAATTCTAATGTACAGGAAGGGCTTTATCAGCCCCACATGAAGGCAGGCCAGAGATGGAATTTCCTCTGGCAGACAGGGAGAGCAGGAACCACACATGAAACACAACAGCCTTCGCGTCAAATCTGCACACTTGTCACCCATGTGCTATGACTTTGACTAAACCTGTGGACCTATAGGCAAGTGAATTCTTTAGGGTTGAGGTATAGGGTACAGGACAAAGATTTAAAGATATAGCAATCTCTCAGGGTACACTTCTGCTTTTTACTAGACTCAGTAAACAATAATTCAGAACAAACATAAGCCACATACAAACCACTCGTGTATATAGTATCTGAACATAATCTTTCCATGATACAAAGACATATAGTTTATTAGGAAAAAAAGTTGGTCTGTCATTTTTCTCAACACTGACTCTATAATGTACCTACAGCAGATAATGCTGCTGAAATAAAGCCAGAAACCAAAGTAAGACAAATGAAGGAAATACTCTTATTGGAACAATAACAACAAACATTTTCCTCCTACAGATCTGCTAGAAACAGATGTAAATTAATATTTGGAATTTTGTTAGATGATGACGTAATCCAGATCTCTGTGATCAACAATATCAATGTCAGGTAGTGTGGCCGGAGGTGTCGCCAGGCAAGCCAGGGACTCAAAGTCAAGACCTTGAGCAGAAATCATGACTATAAATATAGTTTTAGGTTCAGATCTCTACAATAAAGATGTGATGGAAAAAGAGGATTAAGGAATTAACTGGGCATGGTATCACATGCCTATAATCCCAACACTCAAGAGACTCAGGCAGGAGGATTGCCATGAGTTTGAGTCCAATCTAGACTACCCAGTGGGATCCTATATCAAGAATGAGAGAAGAAAAGAAAGTGAGGGAAGAAGAAAGAAAGGAAGCATTGATTAGGAAATAAAAGAGAGTAGAATGTATTAGACCAAGCTATCTGCTGCTTTGCAGTCTCCTCATGTCATCTATTTACTGGATGGTGATCAGATGAAAAGCTAGAGGAATTACAGAAGGGGGGATGAGAGAGAGAGAGGAACATGGCATGTACTTTGCTGTATAGCATGGACCACAGGCTGCTTCCCTTGAACTAAACTTTCCGGTGTACACAGCCAGTGTAGTTAATTTTATTCACTGCGGGCTTTTTATTAAGCTGCCTGCTATAAAAGCTCCTTACCCCTCATGAAAATTACAATAATTAGCCACTAACACCTCAACTATGTTTTAAGGCAAATGTCATCCAATACTATTATATAATTGTTCGGATGGAGCTGGGACAGCAAGCTTTCAGTTTAAGCACAGGCATGAGGGGAAGGGTTCTTGCCTGAGCAATTCCTGAAACTGAAAAAAAAACAGGAGTGTGCTCTTATCAGCTAGACGTGGGCAGGACTTTTAAATCGAGCTTCATTAATTCATAATTTACTGTCTCTCTTTTCAGTGTCTTTCTGGAGCAGGTGTCTTCTAACGTCCAGGAGTGAAAAGTAAGAAACATTTGTGACCATTGATATAACAAGAATGGGTCCCCCAACCAAGTTAGGTCCTTGACTTTCAGTGCAGTCACCACACTTTATTAAGTTATCTTATCTACCATTCCCATTCCCTAATCTCTTCCCTGTTCTTTTCCTCACCTCTCAAAAAAAAAAAATACTCTCTTGAAAAAAGTGTTACATTTTCTTGGTGTCTCCTGTGCTATGTTCAGTGGAGGAACTGAAACAAACTAAGGAGAACCTCATGATAGTCATCTACGCTGAGGAAGAATGGACAGACAGATTCCTCTGTAAGTTCTGGGGTGGTGACTTATAAAGCTATACATGGTGATGTGATCATATGTAAAGACGAACATGTGTAATGTGGGCAATATAAACAAAAAAGTTCTCCTTGGTCATAAAAAAAAAACCCTACATAGACAACATTAAGCATCACCCATAATACCGAGGTTTTTCTTAGATGGAAATATTTGTGTGTATTGTAGCTTTCTTTCTCCCCTCCTAGATAGTTTCCAAGTTTCCATCCTTCAGGAATAGCCACGTGGCTCTCTGCCAAATTATAAGCAGAAGTTGAGTGAATCCTGAACCAACATGGCACGCAGAGGCATGTAAAAATACATGACGTATGTAGAAAAATAAAAGAGAATTGCTCTCTGTGTACACCAATGTAGATGATAGCTTGAGTATACACATTCCACAATATATGTTCTGTTCTCCAGCCAAAAATACCACGAAGACACCCCAGGGCAAGAAGGGAACATGTTCCTATTCCCAGCGGCATTAGTAATTGGGAGTCAAAGAAGGTACTCCCCTTGTTCTCTATATAATTGAGTTAAAGAGCAGTGTTACCAGGAGAAAAGCGGTGAATACCGAGCAGTGCACAATAGGAGATGGGAAATAGATACAAGAAGCAATGTCTCCTGGGGCAGTTTTTTCTATTTGCTGGGCCACAGACTCGCAGCTGATAATGCAAGTTGTAATTAATATAAAAGCAAGAGACAATATGGGCAGAGCTTGTAGTATCAGGGCCACAGGAGAGCGCTCGGCTGCTCTCCCTGCCTCCTCATTTGCACAGGGCTTTCCCTAGAAAACACAATCCTGCCAGTGTTTGCTCCCTTGAAAGTTAAAAAAAAAATTGATTTAGCACCAGCATTGAATTTTGCTAAATCTAGAAAAGAGAACAGAGAGGACAGAAGTCTCTGGGCACCTGAAGCAAATCCTTGGCTCACTGTGTTTGTTGAGGTTGTAAGTTGGCTGCAATTACACTTCAAACCGAAACAGCACTTCTGTGAGGGTCCTGCCTGCCTATAGGATCATCCTTGATAGGTTCTGGCCAATCGCTAGTGCTTCCTGTGTCACAGTAGTCCCCATAGAGCACAGTTCATTTGTGGGGTCACTGGGGTGAAATGCGTAAGAGTTTCCAAATAAAACTGTAAAAGTAAAATGTGTTATGATTGAAGAAAGGAACAGGAGCCACTGTTTCATTCAAGATTTGACAAAAGTGGTCTGAGCATTTTTTTTTTTTGGGTGGGGGCTCCTATGAAAAGTTATTTCCCTGAATGTGGTATAGGAAAAAAGACAGATGGACAGAATCAAGATTCTTAGGGCCACCTCTAAGAGGTCTTGTGACTGGGAGTGAAGGCTTCACTGATGTCCTTTTGGACTATGCTCTTTATCTCTTTAAAATTATACAGTCACACAAGATAATTCTCAAGGTCATGTCCACTTATGTCTATTTTGAAAAGTACTTTGAAAATAGCCAACAAATTATTCTAGAACCCACATAACTAAAGAACATCAAGTAGAGAAGTTCATAGGAAGCATAAAAACACTGTAAAGTAATTCAAGATCTGCGTTCATAGGTACATAGTGACAGAAAATACAAAGACTTGTTCATTAGCTGAAGAGGTACACAAACTCATGTGACTTGACACATTTAAACAACAAAGAGAAGGGTTATCTGTGTTAATACTTAGTAATATTAAGTTACTTATTTCCTATGGCTTTATGGTGCTTTAAGTTCTAGTTAACAGTGTAGACAAAATTGTTTTGAAAAAAGATACAAGCACTCTTAGTCTACAAGTTAAAAATGTTCATAGTGTGGCTGGGATAAATGTTGAAATTGCAACTTTTCAATTGTTAATATTGACCAAGAACTCAGGACACCAGTATGTGCTTTTGTAAGCTGGTCTTTAAAAATGTAAATAAAGCTGGAGATTTTGCCTCAACATTTGCGCCATTGAATCAGTCTTTGGGAATTAATGGATACGCACATCTCACACAAGTGCGTTATCCCTTGATTGCTCAGTTGAGTGGTAGACTCTCAAAGAAGACAGAAATACATTTGTTACTACAGAGAGTACAGGAAAATGTTTTCTATGATTCTGAAGTATGCCGGGATATCTTGTAGACCAGTTAATATATAAACAACCAGCACAATGACATCAAATAACGCCCAGTCTTCTCACGGCATTGTGAGTGTCTATGTAACTGCCAAGTGTACCTAGGTTCCATTTCACCACAGTTACACTGAAGACTTACACCAACTGCACAACTTAAATAATGTCAAAAGGACATAAATGTTCTTGATGACGAAAAAACAGGCAGAAATTTTGTCAGCAACAATTATCAGAAAGCACTGTCCTCCATCAGGGCCCTTAAAATGGGACACTGAACAACAAAGTAAAACTTTCTGGAATTTGATCCCAGAGGCTTTGGATCCAGCACAGCCTAACACCTAGTGTCACACTTCAGCGTGAGAAATGAACAGACAAAAGAAATCACTCATGTTATTAATGTTAATATCAAATCTCATTAGTCTTCCTTGATCTTTAATAGACCAAGCACTCAAACTCAATGCTCTCCTCACTCCCATCGCTTCTAATTCCTTAGGTAATACTAGAATTTATCTTGCGGGACTTGACTGTTTGTTTTTTTGTCGAGAGCAGATTCTGGTAATTCTCTCCTCTGACCTAACCCATTTTTTTTTAAAGCTGTATTGACATAAATACACTTGACATATTCAGAAATGCAAAACAATAGCAGCATATGCTCATTTAAACTTCAGCACAGAAATGAAAATAAAATGTCATTTATTTATGATGTTATCAGAGCCAGGCAATTTTAAGGTACCTGCCAATTCATATTAATCCACATCACTATATTTTCTTTACTTAACTTTTTCAAAGAAAATAAAGTGTAGCTGTTTAGCACTGTTAGCGAGAGTAACATTACTACCTAACCGTATGCATTACGTATAAGCGTAGCTGGGAGAAAACACTTCAAGCAAGTACATTTTGGTCACATAAACCTAATATAAAGATATTTAATATCTTTAAGTATAAACATTATGATGACACTTATTTGTACTGGCTCTAAAGAGTTGATCTCAAATTATATAAAACAGAAAATTTGGATATTACCTTTTTTTTCAGTCTAGGAAAAACATAATTATTTTACGACAGTTTCCAAGTTGAAACTTTAAAAAAAAATGCTTTCTTGACATGTTTGTTTTAAACATGATAAATTTGAATGTCTGGGAAACTTAACATTAGCTGCAGCTGGAAAACACAGCTGAGTTTCCTTTGACTACCATCTATTTTTCCCTCAGCAGTGTTCTAAGGAACACTATCAGAGCCATTTGCTACCTGCACCTATTATCCTTATTCTACCGTAAGAGTATGAGATAGAAATACATCTTAATATTAAAAAAAAAACAACAAAAAACCAAGCATCCCTCATGAATTTACTTAACACAATACAGCAGCCAAAGTTGCACATTTTATTTTCTCTTTGGTTCCAAACTTCCCCCTTTGGAAGTTATACACATCTTGCTTGTAAATAATAAATGAACAAATCCAGCATCCTCACTGAATTTAAAGAATGAAATATAAGACCTTTCTGGGTTTTCTCTTAATGCATCGATGTTGTATAAGAATACTTATGTGACATTTTAGAACGTGGAATTAGCACGTCTTACCGGGTAGCAGTGCATATAAGTCATTTCTAAAAGTCTGCTGAGAATACTAGCTTTGAAGATATTTATTCATTCAACAACCTTTATTCATTTATGCTTTCGAGCGTTTTAATAAGAGAATGGAAATCTATGTTGGAGCTTAATATCTTGCCCTTAATAGTTCTTTCATTGCTTTTCAGTGCATGGAACTACAAAGTTAGTCTTTCATTTTTCCTTTCACTCTTTCTCCTTGCCTGCTCCCTCTCTCTCTCTCTCTCTCTCTCTCTCTCTCTCTCTCTCTCACACACACACACACACACACACAATGTAGCTTGATACCACTTAATAAGGATAGAGGTGTATGTGTTTTTGGGGTGTCAAACAGCTGTCACAAACTGTCACCTCCACAAGAGAAACCTTGGCATACAATAAATGAAACTACACTTCTTTTTTAGCTGTCATTATTCATAGCCAATAAGTTGAACTGCTCACGGCATTTCATGTGCAAATAAAACCACGAGGTAGCTCAGTAGATCAGAATAGTGGGCCAACAGATAAAACGGAGAAAACAACACGCTGTCTGGGTTCTTCTGAAGTGGCTGATCATCACCTCTGCACCAGCGTGCAGCAAATGAGATCCAGCCCGGGGCAAGGCATTAAATATGCATATCAAAGCAAATGAAAAAAATAAACCTGATGACTCAAATTGGACACATTTATATGCTGAAAGTGCCCCACTCCCCCGCCACACATCACTTTCAGGTAGGGGTTCTGTGGTCTTTTCCCTCTCTTTCGACTGAGGGGCTGAAGGATGACAAGTTTGTAGGAGAGGGTGAAAAGCCCGAGACGGATGCCCTTTGTTGGGTAGGAGGGCACGGCCTTGCAACAAATGCAGTCAATATGCCTGTGGTACCTAAAGCGCTGTGGAGCCTTCAGGGTTTCTCTCTCATCCCGCATGAAGCACAAGCATGGGGCAGACCTCTCCATTTCCCCACTCAGTATGCTGGTGGAACAAATTATTGCTTCATTTCAAAACAAATAGCAGGGGGCTAAAGCAAAAAAAAAAAAAAATACTGTAGTTCACATCTCTAGGAAATAAAAGGCTTTAAATTATGACGCCCAATGAGGTGGCAAGCCCTCGTGGATTCAAAATAAATCAGTTGTCATATTTACTTGATTGGGGGCTTGAAAGGGTAGCAACAAATGCTACAGTTGACTCTTTTATCCGAAGATGATGATTGTTAAATTATTAAAGCACTATTCTCTTAGGTACCACCTTCTTCTTGAGTCTGTTTTTAAATATTACGGTAGCGTCACAAATTGGCATTGTATATTGGCCAATACACTAAAACATCTAGTTTATCTTATTTCTTCTACATAAACATCCACACCCTCTAACTCCATACATCCACGAGAATAACCATTGTCAGGGAACCAAGTAGTCACGACGGCACAAAATAACATGAGAAAAGCTTCCGATGTAGAGAGAACTAGGGACCCCTCATGCTCCAAGCCAGGTAAACACATCCCTCTCTATCTCCACTCCCATAATGCAAGTACGTACAAACTCAGATACAGAAAAAGATGGAAATGAGTAAAGAACAAAAATGAATAAATATTCATGAAGCTAACATGGTTCTTGGACCACAAGAACACACACAACACACTGTAGAGACACAGAGAAGCAACATAAATTCCAATAGCTGCTACGCCTTTTTGATTTCACTTACAAGCACATCCAAGATATATAAAACTGCCCCAGACCACTTTTCCTGTCACTTACAGGTAAGTGTAAGGACAGGTGTAGGAACTTTTAACAGGGCAACATTTATTCTGTTTCAGAGCTGGGCTTCCTAGGCGATGCCATAGCTTTTCTTTTATTATTTTTCAACTTTTGAGGCTGCTGTCTCACATGGTACAAAGGTTAATCTTTAAAATCAATGGCTGCTTCTTTTCAGAACTTTTGGTGGAGGGAGAGGAGAACTTACAGAAAAGCTATTATTCCTCAGATAGCTCAATTCGTTCCTTTTCAGACTCAGGAATTTGGAGTTTGAAGGAACGCAAACTGCCTTCAAACCTCAATGCCTGCTTAACTCCTCTGGAGTTGTTAAATTAATATTTAAACCATGAAGTTACCCAGACTCAGGCCTGCATCATTTAGGTTGTGAGTTCAAGGAGTATATACGGATTATGTTCCCCACCTCCCGGCTTGAGTTCCCAAAATACACTGCTATTCACACCCACTCTTTAACCTCACCACTCTTGCCTTCTCCACCATCCCTGCCAGCTGCAATCCCTCTCTCTACTTCTTCTTCAAATTTTGAGTACATATGCTTCCCTCGCCCCCCCCCCACCAAAACCCCCATCAGATTCACTAGATCAGTTCCAAAATAGGATTAAGAACAGAGAGAATAGAAATCTCCTTTCCTGGCTTGACATCCACGGGCATCTTCTACGCTCTCCATCCTCAGTCACCAACTGTTAAAGTGTTAAAGCGCACCCACTAACCTATGGTTACTCAATCTTAATTCCCTTCAGCTTTCTGTAATACAGTGTTAAAATTTGGTTCATCAAGGTTGCTGTCTTTTATTATAGAGATGCTTCAGGCACTTGGCAATAAGACCATATTCTGACAATAAGTTTCTATGAGCAAAAAGTCCTGAGGATTGTAATGTGTTCATTCACTCCTTTTATTGTTAATGCAGTGCAAAACTGCCAGGAATTCTCAGGGTTGTCTTCTCTAGGAGAGAAATAAGTACGCCCCCCTTTCCCAGTTCTCATCTTGGTTTCCACCCCCCCAACACACACACACCCTTCCCCTCCCCCCACTCTCCATTCCTTCCTCTCCAGCTAACTGTTTTGTCTCTTGCTATCTCTGATGCCTTTACACACAGAAAGAAACCAGAAAAGACAGAAGCCATCATACCAAAAAGACACTTTGCTAACTCCCAAGTCACCAGGTTCCGGCAACTTTACACATGTAGAGCAGAAATCATTCTATCAACTCCCTGGTTCATTGACTCTCACCATGAATAAGGGCAGGGTCCAAGAAAGGGGAAATGAAAATAAAGGTCATGACACTGGTAGTGAGAAAGGGAACGAAAACTCCAAAAGCAAAAGCGACTAAACAATTTAAAAACAAGACACGTGAACTCAATACCACAAGGTTTTCAGAAAAAATGCTTTGCCCAGTGGCCTTCAGAGAACTCCACGGGCTCTGCAGACTTACGTGGTCGGCGAGATTTGTGGAGGAGCCTGAAAGTTCTTCATGATCTGACTTGGAGCTTCCATCTCTTTCATCAATCACGAGGTCAATGGGCATTTTCCCCTTCAAACAGCTAATGTACCGGTGGCAGAAGTTATCACACAGTTCGTGGACCTAGGAGGAGGGTCACGGTGAGAGCTCAGCTCATGTTGTTTTTATATGTTTCATTTTTAAAGAGGAAGACTATCAGGTTACATTGCAAGGTTACATTTGTAAAGAGCAACAATGTGATGTCTTCCAAAATAACTCTAATTAAGGGGTGTAAGAGTTGAAGGCAAGGAAACAATAGAGCAATTGTGGCAATAGATATTATTCTCCCGAGATTCCCCTGAGCAACAAGTTACAATAAAGAAAGAAACTGGACTGGAAGTAACTGCATTCACACTGGGAGAGCAGAGACGAAAATGTGATTTGATAATAACTCAGAAACATTTAAACTCTAGAGTTGAGGACATTTGTGACTGAGCTGTGTGTGTTTCCTGGGGAAATGATTGATCTGTGTATCACTGCAAAGATACCCCAGAGAGGAGTCTTCCCTCTCTTGCACCCAGTGGGGAATTTGGGCCCAGGGTGAGCTGGGCTAATAGAGACACAAGTAGACATTGTGTCCAGCAACACAAATGGCTCTTGCAGTACTTCAAATAATCCTGAGTGCCTGGGGGTGGGGGCTTTAAAAGTCAGGGCTGCCCTGATTCCCATGTCCTTTGAGCCTCTGGGTTGAAAAGGGAGCATGATCAACATCTCCAGATGTGTAATCCACCATCCCAGAGACTTGTAACATCCCCAATCATCTAGCTGAGAAAACGTCATCAAAACAGGGACTGCTGTTTCCTGCTTACCTTTTCTAACTCCAGAAGATGAAACCTTAGTACTTGTATTGCTTGTATCATCTGAAAGGGAAATTTAAGGGGATGCAGTTAGGGTTCTGGTACTTGTAAGTCATGTGTGCTTGTGCACTTGTGTGTGTGTGTAACGGGGTGTGCTGTGGGGATTGAGCAAAGGAAGAAGAAACCAGCAGGTGGCCAGGCAAAACCCACACATCAAGGAATAGGAAAACCAAATGATTACTGATCATCTCTGCCTCATTGGCCACAGGGGTGGGAATCAGTATAAGGGGTGGTCTTAGTATTAATTTCTTTCCCCCAGCCCTCACGGTGTGTGGTTGGTAAGGGTTGTTTTTCTCCCACCGGGTCTTCTTATTCCATCCCAGACCTCTTTTATTGTCTCCTCCTACCCTCCACCTCAGGCCAAATTGAAAGAGGAGGAGGGAAAGGAGGAGGAAGAGAAGGAGGAGGAGGGAGAGATAATAGAAGGAAAATAAGAGAGAGACTGAGAGGAAGGGAATAGGAGGGGAAGAGAAAAGAGAAGAGAAGAAGAGGAGAAGAGAAGACGAGAAGAGGAGGAGAGGAGGAGAGGAGAAGAGGAGGAGAGGAGAGGAGAGGAGAGGAGAGGAGAGGAGAGAAGAGAAGAGAAGAGAAGAGAAGAGAAGAGAAGAGAAGAGAAG